TTATCATAAACCCTTTCGAAAATTTTATAATTCTTCCGAATTTATTTGTAATAATAATAATAATAATAATAATAATAATAATAACAATAATAATAATAATAACAACACTAGTAATAATATTCTTCTTATCTAATCCAAGCATCTCCGCATGCAAGGTTTTGCGCATTCTTCACTTTCTACAACAAGGAGAAATAAGTCCTTTGGAAATAAATACGCATTAACAAATGCAAAATGTTAGGCATGAAACATTTAAGATATTTTTTCTGAAAAAAAAATGGAGGGGAAAAGAAAGAGTGAATGATGCGCACAACTTAATTTTAAATAGTATTGAGAATACAATGTAACGTTAGTTAATGTAAGCGAAGACGAGGAAGAACGAGGGAATAAGGAAGGGGTTTTGGTGATCGCCTGTTCCTTCCTTCTTCTTCACAAAAAAAAAAGGGAGAAACCGAAAGAGAAGAATTATTATCCTATTGTTGCAAATGTTGTGCACTCCCAACATTTGTCTAAGTCGGGGGGTGTTACGTCCGGGGGACTTCACGAATTCTTCTCTTTCGGGAAGAAAAAAATTAACGGCTGCTAACCCATAAACGGAGAACTTCGAACGATCTAAAGAAACCCTAAATAAACAAACTTTCTCTCGAGATATGTCTCACTATCAAAAAAAATTCTTAGTAAACAGCCTTGTCGACGCCGACAAGTTTATGACTTACCAATAAAAATTAATATTAACAAAAGCAAATTCCTAACGGATAGGAAACGCGTTGGATCGTTCGGGGGTGACACTCCCCAAATTGGTGAGGAAATACAAAAAAAACGCCAGTCAAGAAGAAACGATTAGTGGCCGTTGGCGGGCACATCAATGAACGATTGAGGGTGTGAACTAGCGGGAAAATTTTTATTAACTAATTCTATCATTCGCTGGGAAATCTGGAAATATAAAAACAACCACAATTCACAGAACACCGCTCCCCTCCTTCCTCTATATTCACAATTTTCCTAAACTATCATTCGACAAGCCAACACGGAAATCCATCACGTTCCCAGATATTCCCACCCCTCCGGAACCCTTTAAAAACCGCGACTTGGAGCGGATCGATCTCTTCTTCCTGCTTCTCATCGCTACATTCACGGTCGGGACCATCCGAAATTAGAATCTGTGCGCGATTCTTATATTTTCGTGTGATTCAACGATCCAGCCTGGCCATTGCATTTTCTTGACCATCAGCGGCCGCTACAACAAAAGTAGTCCAACTTTATCATTCTTCCCCCGCGGTAACTGGCATTTGGTTCGCGACCTCTACTTATTTATCTCAACACTCCAACATTCCAAATTGGCAAGCCGCCGATTAACTCGGTGAAGCTGCCTTCCCCGATTTCTTCACACTCCGACTTGGCAAGCCGCCGATTAACTCGGTGAAGCTGCCTCCCCGATTCCACAACATTACT